CTTTATGATGCGCCAAATGTTTTCTATGGGTGAAAGATCTGGACTGCAGGCTGGCCATTTCAGTACCCGGATCCTTCTACGCAGCCATGATGTTGTAATTGATGCAGTATGTGGTCTGGCATTGTCATGTTGGAAAATGCAAGGTCTTCCCTGAAAGAGACGACGTCTGGATGGGAGCATATGTTGTTCTAGAACTTGGATATACCTTTCAGCATTGATGGTGCCTTTCCAGATGTGTAAGCTGCCCATGCCACACGCACTCATGCAACCCCATACCATCAGAGATGCAGGCTTCTGAACTGAGCGCTGATAACAACTTGGGTTGTCCTTGTCCTCTTTAGTCCGGATGACATGGCGTCCCAGTTTTCCAAAAAGAACTTCAAATTTTGATTCGTGTGACCACAGAACAGTTTTCCACTTTTGCCACAGTCCATTTTAAATGAGCCTTGGCCCAGAGAAAACGCCTGCGCTTCTGGATCATGTTTAGATATGGCTTGTTTTTTGACCTATAGAGTTTTAGCTGGCAACGGCGAATGGCACGGTGGATTGGGTTCACCGACAATGTTTTCTGGAAGTATTCCTGAGCCCATGTTGTGATTTCCATTACAGTAGCATTCCTGTATGTGATGCAGTGCCGTCTAAGGGCCCGAAGATCACGGGCATCCAGTATGGTTTTCCGGCCTTGACCCTTACGCACAGAGATTGTTCCAGATTCTCTGAATCTTTGGATGGTATTATGCACTGTAGATGATGATAACTTCAAACTCTTTGCAATTTTTCTCTGAGAAACTCCTTTCTGATATTGCTCCACTATTTTTCGCTGCAGCATTGGGGGAATTGGTGATCCTCTGCCCATCTTGACTTCTGAGAGACACTGCTACTCTGAGAGGCTCTTTTTATACCCAATTATGTTGCCAATTGACCTAATAAGTTGCAAATTGGTCTTCCAGCTGTTCCTTATATGTACATTTAACTTTTCCGGCCTCTTATTGCTACCTGTCCCAACTTTTTTGGAATGTGTAGCTCTCATGAAATCCAAAATGAGCCAATATTTGGCATGACATTTCAAAATGTCTCACTTTCAACATTTGATATGTTATCTATATTCTATTGTGAATAAAATATAAGTTTATGAGATTTGTAAATTATTCCATTCCTTTTTTACTCACAATTTGTACAGTGTTCCAACTTTTTTGGAATTGGGTTTGTATTTCTTCAATTGCATAGTAGAAATGAATTTTAAATGTTGCTAAATAAATCTAAATAAATATTTGATATATGTGTGTGTATATATGTATAATATATAATTTATATATTTTTATTATGTTGTTGTTATATTTATGTATTTTTTAAAATATTTTATATATTTGTATTATATTGATGAACGTAAAATGGTTTGAAGCTGAACATTTCTTGGAAGCTTCTTACCTTCTTTCTAACTTTTTCTTTAAAATGCACAGGAGAAATTTAATGCTAAGTAATCAAAATAATTTTGTTGTATGTGTATTTGTGTGTGTGTGAGAGAGATTTGTAATTTAATTATATTATTTTTTATATGTTTTAAATATATTTGTAATTTATTATTTTATATTGTAAGATTGTAACAAAAGATGGATTGAAACCTAAGCTAAACTTTCTTCTTTCTTTCCATCTTTCTTTCTTTTCTAACATTGTCTTAAAATTGTGTAGAAGTAGAATTTTTCTTTTGAATGCGAGTTATTGTTAGAGACACCTGGGTGGATTTCTCTTTGATTTCATAATCCTTGTCTCATGCTGCAGATTAGTCGCCCGTATGAAAGACTCCACTGGCTTTTGACTTTAATTCACGGCTAAATATAGCGCTGCTTTTCCACCGCAGCAAACACACAGGAGTATTTGCAATGGATTTGTTCACCCCTTACCTTCTCTCTGTGTGTTACTTTCCCACTGTGCATGCGTATGTGTGTGTGCGGACGTGCACACAGTGTTAGTATGTAGGCGTCTACGTTTTGGGCCTTGAACAAGCAACAGTGTGATGAGGTCTTTAAATCATACTTTATGGATACAGGGAGTAAAAATAGATTGTGGTGAAAAGCTCACGGCTAAAAGCCTCTTTTATGACTTAATTACATATAACATTTATACTTGTTCTTCACACCAGGTTTTGATTATAATTGTAACTGTTTTCTGTGTGATTGAATTTTCGACATGCCTGATCTTAGTTGCACACAGGGTTAGTTGTTCTGGTAATGTACTGTTTCCAGGCCTAAACATAGCTGAAAGAGTGAAGAGTTATAATATGCAAATCATTCCATGACATTAACCCCCCATCCACCCTCAATCCAGTGCAGCCCCGGCAACCGTTATGCTCCACTCTTTTGATGAACAGGGAGTAATAGGATTGGGAAACATTTATTCTGCTTGAATGATAATTCTCTGTAAGAGACCGTGATCTGTAATGTGTCTTTCTATCTGCTGTCGCGCTGAGTCAAGGAGGAACAGGACCGAAGCATTTGCTGCATCTCTTGTAGCAACCAAAAATCTTTTGGGCCTTTCACTATTGAAATGGCCTCTGTACATCCTTACTCAGACAGGTGAATCTCGGGACTTGTTGCATGGTTTTAGTACTACGCTGCTGCTGCTGCCAAGACATGTGGCGTGTGATGCGAGCATGGCCAGCATTGTTGCGATTCCATTCATCCTTTCCTACCACGCCAAACTCGATGTAGGACTATTCTCCCAGGAGCTCATTATATTCATTCCCATACCATCCCTCCAATGGCTTATTTATTCTAATTTTGCAACCAGCACATATTTGCAGTTCAGCTTTTCAAATGATAATTGGGATTATCATTTTGAAATGGAGGTTCTTCTGCTTCGGAAAACTACGCATTCAACAGTGCACACAGAAAGGTCAGGGTCTCTGTAGCATTCGGGACCTTTGTGAGCTGTCCCAAACCAATTTGTGTTGTGAGAGTTGACCGTTTCAACGTTGCCAGCATCGTGACCTTTACTGAAGGAGAGCTCTCCCCTCTCAGCCGTCTGAGACAGCAGATCATCTTGCTGGCCACCAGCCACGCTCTCCCTCTATATGAGCCACAGTGTGGGGTGCGGCATGTTAACGCTGACCTTGCTGTTGTACAGACAGTGTGGTGTACGCAGGCCACATGTCACGTATTGAAAAGGGATAAGAATTCCTCTCAAGACTTCTGAAACCAAATGGTTTCTGTTTGATTGGCTCCTTTTCCTCAGCACTCCACCCGCGGTGTCTGCGCTGCAGAGACTTATCACTGTCGTATCTCAAACTAACCTCTGGAATGTACCTGACAAAAGATGAAATAGTACAGTAGCTTACTCTTTTTTTTTTTTTTTTTTTTTTTGGTCCTGTATATTAATTTATTTAAAAAAAAAAAATACTATATTTCTGAATTCCAATTAATATAAAATAGGTTTTTACGTAATTACATTTTAAATGTATTTTATAATTTATTTAATTTATAATGTAATTATAATATATAATTAAAATAATAGATTTAATAGGTACTGTCTAAACCTAATGCATATATACAATTAATGAATTACTGAATCAATATATACAATTTATGTTGTAAGATTAATATTTTTTTTACAAATATTTTATATATTTTTTATATTAAATATAAAAATAGAATACATTTTTTAATGAATAATTATTTTTATATATACAAATATAATAATAATTAGAGATGTCAGAATTAGCGTTTTAACGCATGCAATTCATTTTTTTCAGTTTAACGCGTTACAAAAAACATTTAACGCAATTAACGCAGGGGCGGAGCTAGGGTTGGCCACCCCACTCACAACTGCTGCTTCTGTTTCTTTTTTCTTGACAAGGATTGCATTTATTTAGACACAAAACGTCTTTACTACCACATCAATTGGAAGACTTTTCAGACGCGCAGTCCAACTTCACCTCAGTGCCAGGCGCTAGTCAAACGAACGCGGAAAAGCTACAGTTGACGAGGGAGCACGTGCTCCTCAAATGCATGCACAAATACGGCAGTGTGTGCTGTATCATATTAAAGCACAAATGAAACTACGAGCATGCTATGTCGTAGTTACGTCATCAGAAGTTACCAAAAAAGGCGATTAAAGCTGCCTTAAAACTGTGTAGAGACTTTAAGATCTGAAGTGAGTCAGAAAAGGTAAAGAGTTGTGAGAAAATACGATGCGTGTCAGATCCACAACATGTTCAGCAGCAGCAGCCAAAATAACCTAATAACCCAGCAGCTGTGATTTATGTTAATCCAAGAACAAAAGAAAAAAATAGCTTTAAGGATTCATCTATGTTTAATTTAGAATTTAGTGTTTGATAACTTATTTCCTGCTTGCTGAAGGGCACAGGTAGCTAAATATGACATTTATTATAATGGGTTTATGTGAAGATTTTTTCAAGTTCACTTAAATTAGAAGTTGTTATTTTTTAAAGTCTAATAAATGTTAAAATTGATAGCTCTCAATTATAGCTGCTGTAATGTTGAATGGCTGTAGTCAATGGTTAAATATTAGAAGAAAAAAAAAACTATTTCCTAGAGACATCAGTAGTATTGGTATCAGTGATACTCGCCTTCAGACATAAAGAAGATGCCACTAAACAAATATTTAAAAAATATACTATTTTTATGTTGTTTCTACATTAATTTGAAGATTGAATGTGAAATGATTGCAATATAAAAGTATATTTAAAATCAGTTAACAGCACTATAAATAATATTTATTATTTTTATTATAGTAATATTAATAATAATATAACAATTAAATTAAAATGTGTACACTGTGTATTGAGTGTGTCAGGAAAATAGGTTGTTCTTTTTAGCGTCATTAAATGTAAACAGTTTTGTGTTATTAAAAGTAATTTTGGTGTGAAACCCACATTTACACAAAAAGTACATGTCTAAGAACTTGGCACTTGTGTTTTAAGCTAGATTTTTATCATAAATGCTCTTATAAGTCATTGACACTGTCCCTTTCTTGATTTCCAGGTGGCATTGTACAACCCTGACCAGGACGGGAGTGACAGCCCTCGAAGCAGCCTTAACAACAGCCTATCTGACCAGAGTCTGGCCTCTGTTAATCTCAACAGTGTGGGCAGCGTGCACAGCTACACACCGGTAGGAGTCCGATTCTCCATCTTTCTCCAACTTTGCAGCCACTATTCTGCTCTTTAACCTCTCGTGAACCTGAAGCAGAGCTCTTAATTTGCTGAGTTTTATTGTGGAGCACTGCTTTATGAGAAGCGGCAAGATTCCAGTGCGTTTGTCAGAATGCCAGAGTATGGAGGCCTGTGCATGGGAGCGTCCTGTCACAGAGGTTAAGGGAATGAAAGGCAGAGCTTATACTGCTGGAGCGCTGCTAAAGAGAGACGCTGCCTCTGATGTCCTCCCACTAGAGAAGCCGCTTCTTTGTTGTGGTCCCCTAGAAGCCCTGCATGCTTCTCGCTCCAGGCTCTCAGCATTGATCCGGCACAGACACTGATAGATTCACTTCAGTGGGCCAGACAATGCTCTCTCTCTCTATCTCTTTCTCTTTTTCTCAGTCTCTGTCTCTCTATTTCTGCTCCATCCAGCTGATTTGAACACTGTAGTCTGTTTGAACATAACCAGATTAAATGCACTCATCTTTACAGTGATGCATAGTGTGTCATCTGACTCCCACTGCTCATAATTCTTGTGTGCAATTAGTCTCTGCTGCTAATCTTGTATGTGAGCAGGACTTTCCTTATGCAGGATTTTTTTTTGTTAGAGCTAACTAGTGTTTCCTGCTCTGATTTTACAATTGAGTTTTGATATTGCTAAGTTAATAGGATAAAAAAATTATTGGTAGCACAGGATAATATAGGGATGTGCAATATATCTGTATCTTGTTATCAGCCGATATTGAAGATGTTTTTTTAGTTATCGCTTTATTTTAAATATTCATGTCTATATTGTATGTGTAATTTTATGTTCATTTTCCCTATTTTTACATTTGGATTACATATGCCTTCATCTGACTTTTGTTAAAATTCAAGTCAAACACGGATTTAATAACACTGTTAAATACAGTATTTAGCACATTTTTAAAGGAGAACTATTGTGCACCTTTTTACAATATGTAATATAAGTCTCAGGTGTGCCCAGAATGTGTCTGTGAAGTTTTAGCTCATAATATCCCACAGATTATTTATTATATCACTTTGAAAATGGCTATTTTGAGCAGAAACAGAAATACGCTGTTTTAGTGCCTGTATCTTCAAATACAAATGAGCTGCTGCTCCCCGCCCCCTTTTCCACAATAGGGCTGTGCTATTACAGATCGTACCCCAGATACTGTGCCAAAAAACATCTGTCTGGTTTTGATTATCATGTCTATCGCACTGAAATCATACGTTTTAAGGCCATATCAGTTTAAACTTCTGATAGTGTTTTCTGAGCGCACACATCTGAAGCACACGCACAGAAAACTGCTGTCATATGGCATGTGAATACTAAACTAAGTTCTCTTTCATGTCTTATTGCACTTAAACTGTCAAATACACAGAAGTTTGTTAAAAACACGTTAGTTACAAAAACAGTTGGTTATGTCTGTAAAGGGGAACAGCTGGGAAGAGCTGTGCAGCCAAAGACAGAACATTTAATATGCTTTGGTCGAACTTTCGCCATGGCGTTAGAACTGGTACACCAGTGCCGCTTGCGAAAACACAATGGCAGCACCATGGGTGGAAACATGCATATTAAGGGATGATGATATTATAATAAGATCCCATTTCTACGTCACAGGGGATGCGAAATCTGAAGCACGAATTTTCTCACATGCTTCCAAAGAAAGGCTTACCAAAAAACATTTACTGGATTGTTCTTTTTCACGTTTCCTGGGTTGGTAGATGCACCGGAGACCCGATTATAGGACTTAAACACGGAAAAAGTCAGATTTTCATTGTATGTCACCTTTAATGTAAATGTAATCTTATACTGTAACAAATACTGAACATTATACTTTTGTAATGCCTGAATTCATGTGTAATATTTAAAATTATTTATTTTAGTTTTTAATGTTTTGTTTTGTTCTGACAAAATAGTATAGAATACTAATATCGGCCATTTATTAGTTGTCAGCCATAACATGAAAGTAATTATCGGCTTATTAGTGTCAGCCCGAAAGTTAATATTGTGCATCCCTAGCAGAAAATGGTTGTCAGTCCAGTGCTAAATATGGTTTCATTCATATGCATATTTTATATATATATATATATATATACTATTTATGTGTAGTGTAATTCTGGAACCAGTTAGCAGAGGGAGACACTGTAGGAAGCGCTGCCGCTAACAATGATCTGTTCACGGGACTTGTTTGCAATAGCTTTGCATCGTTCAGATACATAAATTTCCCCTCACCAGTTCGCACCGAGAGCTAGAATTAGACTTCTTCAGAGTGGCAGATGACTGTTTTGCCAGCATCTCCAGTCTGTTAAACACTGTTGTCTCGAGCTAGACATGGCAGAGCCTCTGGCCTTGTGTACGCCACAAATATGCTCGGCATTATGGAGGCCATTCTCATTCTGGGCATGAAAGGCATCTCTTCAGACTCAAAACAGTGAGCAGATCCCATTTAGAGTGAAACACTTACGTGAGAGTTTAGACACACAAGCTAATTCGTTTTAACGGTCAAACCTGTACTGTATTTAGTTAGAAGGATATTTATCATTGGAAAGATTTGTTTTATGGATCAGTGCCTGTTTTTTGCAGGCAAGTTTTTATGATCTTGCTGTATTTTTCGATTGTGTTGCTCAGTTAATATCACCAAGTTGTTAATTACAAAATAAATAGCTGTAAAAACAACTTCAGAGAGTCTCTCAGGAGACGTGTCTGTTTTGATCATGGCTGTATGGTTATGTAGAAATTCAGCAGTGCTTGTAAATAAATGGTCAAGATTTGGAGGGGTTTTGTGCACTTGATTTCGCTCCTGCATATTGTACTGCAGTGTGTCTGGCAGTTCATTTCCTGTGCCATGATACTGAGTGCTGTAGTCAGTGCTGTCATGTTCTATCTGAGCTCTAATCTGCCGGTCACTGGGCCTGGCTGAGCAGCGCTGCCGTTTAGAGTGGCAAGGCTGAATTCTGTCATTGTTGCTAACCTTGTGTTCATCCCCTCACACAACAGTCATTCTCCTCTCCTCCCCCTTCAGGTGACAAGTCATCCAGAGCCGGTGTCCCAGTCAATGAGCTTGCAGCAGGCCCCTCAGGCCCAGTACAACATACCGGAACGCGACAAGCAGCTGCTCTTCTCTGACTTTGAAGATCTCAGTGCCTCCTTCCGCAGCCTTTACAAGACTGTGTTTGAGCAGTCCTACAACCAACAGGGTGAGTTTTACGCTCGGACATCACATCAAACTGCTTGAAAAACCATAGGCCAAGTCAACAAATCAGCCAAAATAATTAATAAACCTACATGCAGAGAGTGGAGAATGTGTGGAACTGTTCAGTTTTGCAGAATTCGGAGCGTGCAGATTGTGCATGGGCCTGCTGTGTGAGTGTCATTTTCAGGAATTCAGTGCCATATATTGCAAAATAAATCCTTTTGTAGTATTTATAATAATTTATTAATAATATTTATTGAATTATACATATTAATATTAAGAATAGTTATATTTATTGGTAGATTAATATTTTGTGCGTAATTTGTAATTTTATTTATCAAAACAAAGTAACTTAATGGATCAAAATGGATCAAAGCTTCATTTAATTTATAATGTAGTATTATATTCTAAACTTTTATTTTATTATAAATAGTTATTTATTCATATTATTTGTTTAATTGTATATATTAAAATGTTATAATTTATCATGTAGGTAGAATAATTTATAAATCTAATATTTTATATATAATTTATGTAATTATAAATACTATTAATTAGTATATCAAACGCTGGCAGCTTAAAAAGTGGTAAAAAAAATAGTATTTTAATTTATCTAACTCAGCATTTTAAAATCACAGTTAACTTTCTGTTTATGGGTTCTTTGAGGATTTATTAGGAAAACATGATGTACCTTTTTTTTCCAAGCATTCATGTTTTCTTAAAGTCATGTTTAACAGCCATTTTTGTGTGCATTTTTATGAATCGCAAGGATGATATTGGCTCAGTGTACTATCTTGAAAGAGAGTTTTCCAACTCAAATGGCAGCCCATCAAATAGATATGAGAATGGTGCAATGCTAGATTTAGTTCACTGCGAGCTAGCCTGTCTTAAAAGTTAATTCCGATTGTTTGTAATCTGAATGACTGATGTACAAAAAGCACTTGACAAGCGGGTTGCACACAACGCCAGACGAGCCCCCGCGTCTAACCTACTTTGCTCAAATCAGATGCTTTTCATGTTACTGTTTCTAAAGTGAACTTCTTTAATCTATCATCTGTGTTTCATCAGCTGAAAGTTGTTACCTTTTTATGTGCATAAAAGTGAAATCTCTTAGTCAGACAAGCTTGGGCAATTAAAATGAGCAAATAAAACTGGCGAGAGGATTTCACACCCCACTGCTGGAGACACTGAGCTAATTCACTGGCTTTGATAATAGGTAATGAACTCGCATTATTATTCAGGGGGGCTGCTAGCTAATTGCTTTCTGTGCTCTCCCATGGTTGGACAATAGGCTTCCTCTGCTGATAAGAGATGCACCCCTGTCACCCCACCGATGAGTGTTCTCTGGCGATTGCAGTGATGCAGGGCCCGCAGTCTGCTCTAAAAGCTCTCCACCGAAATAGGTTTACAGTGCCAGCGCCATGATGGACAGGGCCTCTTAAGACCGCGAGCCGCACGCTTCGCTGATTGCTATTGAGTGTGCAGATGTTGGAAGCTTGTCAGGCATTTTTAGAAACTAGTTCAAAACAATTGCTGCACGATTGAAAAGTTGTAGAGAGAGAAATTCTGGTGCGATTTGAGAGAGCAGACGACGACTTTGTGCTGAGTCACCGTCTCGGCACCCCAGTGCATTTTAAAAAGACAGATTCAAATGTTTTCAAAATGTTTTGCCCTTTTTTACCACTGATAAAAAAACAGTGAACAGCAGGATAAGTAAGGTATGATTATGGGAAAAAGTTGCAAGCTGGAGTCAAACTCGTGCTGCCTATGCAAGCACAATGGCTCAGTTAGTCAGGAGTATGCAGAGTATCCAGGCTACAGCTTTGACCATCAGTTTTTACCTAACACTTTACAATAAGGCTCTGTACATTTAGTTTGTTCATGTGTGAAGTGTTGGGAAATGGCAGTAAACATGCATTTATTACAGCATTTGATGATGTATAATGTTATTTTTCTAATACATTTTTTTTATGTCTAATATTAATAAATATATATATATATATATATAAAATAAATGTATCATTTTGTTAACTTATATTTTGCTTGTGCATGTTAACACATGCATTTTTAAACTTTAAACATCTTAAACATCTGTTTGTATATGTAGAAATTTGCATACTGTGCCTAACTAATGTTAACATGCTTTTTAAAACTTTTAAAAATGTTTAAAAAAAAGCAAATGTAAAAAATGAACATTAAGATTAATAAGTAGAAGATAAATAAATGCTGTAAAATGATTGTGCCTTGTGACTCCATGTTAACTATTTTATTACATATGCAACCTTAATATAGAGTATTAAAGCCTATTGGTGACTACGATTTGAGTATTAATTAATAGTTTACGTTGACATGATGGAAGGGCTTCTGATGAGATGCAGGCAACCTGTTTGAAATGATGCTATCTGTTTGATCCTTACAGGTTTGATGGGAATGCCCTCGGAGTCGTCCCAGCAGACCCACACCTCCTGCTCTTACCAACACTCCCCCAGCAGCACCATCAGCACCCACCCTCACAACAACCAGAACAGCATCACTAACTCTCACCCCAACAACATCCCCAACAGCGGTAGCCAGGTGCCTCTCTCCCACCCCCCTCACTCGGCCCACAACTCGCCCCATGGACAGCACCTTTCCCAGCATGGCCCTCACACGGCGCACAGCCAGCACCCGCACACGGCTCACAGCCAGCACAGCCAACATCCCCAGCACAGCCAGCACGGGCAGCATCCCTCCCAGCACCAGGCCCACGGCCAACACACGCAGCAGCAGCACCAGAATCTCGCCCACCAGCCTCATCCTGGCCAGCAACAGATGCAGTGCAACACCGGTAAGAGTCTGTGTGTCTGTGATAGTTCTCGCTATCTGATCGTCTCTCTTCTTTTCCTCTTGCTTTCTGTCTCAAACCCTCAGCATACTTCCTTCCATGCTGGCATTGCCGTGACAGGCCGATTTCTTCAGGCCTCTGCTAACAGTCATTTATTTTAGATTAAGAAATTTATGGCAACTTTGGAGCAGTCAGCAGTAAATCACAGGGTGATTTATACTGCTTGCTCTAATGAGAACAAAGCAAATGCAGCACACTTCAGGGAGCAGGCCTGTAGCAGAGGGTTATGGCTCCCCCTGCTGCCTCAAACAGGAAGTGCGCAGCAGCTTCCACACATCCAGATAAGTTCTGCTGTGACCTTCACTATCTTCTTGTTTTGTCTGCAGGTCTTCCCAGTGACTGGTACCCCAACCTGGATGCACTAAAAGAAAGCTGCCGCATCGCCAGCAGCTACAACTGGGCTGATGTTGATCTGTCACCCTTCCAAGGTATAATCAGAATACCTATCTATATACTAAATTCACTGATTTTTTTTCAAGAGATTAACTGCTAATTAAAAAGTTAAGTGTTTATTATTTTGGTATTTTAAGCAGTTAATTTTGTACAACTTCCACTTAATATGATATATAATTATACATTGTGAGTTGTATTTGACAATAGTAAATTAATTAGTTAAATATTTGTATTATTTATTAATAAAACATTTCTTCAAATTGTTCATCAATAAAAATTAAATATTTAAATAATTCATGCACACTGAATTTGAGCTTTTTAAAATATATTTTTAATTAAAATAATTTTATTTAAATATAAATATATCAATATTTATATAATTATATAATTTTTTTATTTTAAATGTGTGTTGCAATGCTCTACGGTGTTTAATTTTAGTTTTGAGAAATCAACTGCACAGAGTGATTAAGTAATCTCTCACCCTTTTTCTGAAGGTCTGAAAGAGAGCATGAGGCAGGCGGAGCTGAATAACTGGTCTCTCGAACCTACTCAGATATTTTAGCAGAGAGCGTACCTTCACTTTAGCTGTTGCTTTTGAATGCTGGGTGTAGTGTAATAGTGAGAGAAAGGAGATGACTAAAATGTTTAGATACACTAATAGCCTTATTTTGGAGGAATGTTAACTGCTACTAAGAAGTGGTGCAAAGTTTAAAATCACACACATTCAGACTGTCCCTTCAAAAAAAGAAACGAATGCAGGAACTAGACAGTAACTGCATCCTGATCTATCAAGCGTAGCACCCTAAAGCAACTGTCACTGTAATTAGCATCCTACAGTCTATATTTTGAGAAGTTTAGTTGAAAGTGTCTGCTAAGTTAACAACCACAGTGTCATGTTATTATATCAGCGATTTTATGGAATGTGTTTGTGCAATATAATTAATTTAGGGCTATCAGTGATTACAATCATCTCTTTTGAAGAGCACAAAACTAATGCACAAGATCTGGACTAGAATAGCGGAACCCAAATTAGAAATAGGTCCATGCTTTTGACCTTCAGCAGGGTATTTCTCGGTGAGAAGCAACTCTTCTGTTAGACCAAATTCTAGAGTGCAGGGCTGATTTAGAAAAGCCATAAAATGCAGTTGAAAAGGGAAGGAGTGGATCTGACACCTTGGTCTCCTTGGTTTTCAGTAGTTTTCAGTCATCTTTATGGGTTTTGTTTTGTTATTCATCAAAGTGTAAGTGCTAATAGACTTGGAAAAGTAAAATGATCTTATGACAATCTTTTTTTTTTTTTGTATTTCAGTATTATAAACTCTTAAACAACGTATTTACACTAGTCGTTGAAATGTTTTGGCCTTTGATCCCTAAGGCCCTTAATGTCGTAAACCAAACCTTTAACAGTTTGTCGTATGTCCTTCATGAAAACACACATTTAAACCTCAAACTCAGAAAGGAAAAAGAAATGATGGTTTACATAAAGAATATTTTTAGGACCATTAAGATTTGGAGTTCTGACATTTAATTAAATCTCCCATCCAAAATTCTCATTACTGTAATCTGTTCAGACATTTCTTTTTCTTTTTGTAATTCCCATTCTCAGCAATGATTCAGTAGTCATTTTCTCATTACTGTAATAGAGTATTTTCATGAAAAGATCTGAATAATTAAATTTATCTTAAAGGCAGTATAACACTGATCAAATTAAAATACTGTTTTATTTTGCTTTTTTTCTTTACATTACTAGAAATTACATTTTTACAGTCTATTGTAAAATTAAACAACAATATGCTTGAATAAAAAATCTTAATGGTCTTAAAAATGAGTTTCTTTGAGCAAAATATTTCTATACTTCTGCCTTTTTATTTGGGGTTAAATGTGACAGGTTTTGAGAGATTCACGCCAAAACGATTCTGATTGGTTAAGGAACCCAGTCAAATGTTCTTCGTGTTCATCTTCATCATTACATAATCAATTGTCAGATTCTCTGATGCTGATGGGGTTTAAATTGGCGAAACCATAATACTAAAGCCTAACATAACCCAGAAATCCAACTCAGTTGGCCATGAGGCTGAATTTGTGAGTCTGCTCACAACAGTGACAGAACTGTTATCCACTGTACCCCAGACAGACTGTTTAGCGTCTGTGTTTTTTGTTAGACTGCGATGCTGTGCACATTGTTCTTAAGCTAAGCTTCATTGCCCAAATCTGCTGTGGCTCCCTGCATCCTTTTCTTCCTCTTTTCTTTCCATCTCATGTTTTTGTTTGGATACTAGTGAAGTGTTCACAAGCCTTGCTCACCCAGCCTCAGTGTTTGTCATACAAAGAGCTTTGAGAGCTTTTATCTGGTCATTTGTGCACTTTGAAAAGAATTCAGAAGCACAAACGCTCATGTCGTTCATTAACTCAAGCAGGATCTCACCTCAAAGTTTCCTGCGTTGTTTAGGAGTGATCACCTCTCTGACCGGAGGTTTGTGGGACACCAGAGAGCCCTGTTCACGTTGCGAAATCAGCCTGATGTGTGGCTCTTTACAGCAGCGTGGAGGAGGAGATGGGAATCAGGTCAAGGCACATTTGCTTATTGGTCCGCAATAAAAGAGCCCTCTTTATTTTAACGCTAGGACCAACCGACATGAAATCGCTTGCTCTTTGCTGCACTGACAAGGACTTTTAGCAGAGAGCGTACCTTCACTTTAGCTGTTGCTTTTGAATGCTGGGTGTAGTGTAATAGTGAGAGAAAGGAGATGACTAAAATGTTTAGATACACTAATAGCCTTATTTTGGAGGAATGTTAACTGCTACTAAGAAGTGGTGCAAAGTTTAAAATCACACACATTCAGACTGTCCCTTCAAAAAAAGAAACGAATGCAGGAACTAGACAGTAACTGCATCCTGATCTATCAAGCGTAGCACCCTAAAGCAACTGTCACTGTAATTAGCATCCTACAGTCTATATTTTGAGAAGTTTAGTTGAAAGTGTCTGCTAAGTTAACAACCACAGTGTCATGTTATTATATCAGCGATTTTATGGAATGTGTTTGTGCAATATAATTAATTTAGGGCTATCAGTGATTACAATCATCTCTTTTGAAGAGCACAAAACTAATGCACAAGATCTGGACTAGAATAGCGGAACCCAAATTAGAAATAGGTCCATGCTTTTGACCTTCAGCAGGGTATTTCTCGGTGAGAAGCAACTCTTCTGTTAGACCAAATTCTAGAGTGCAGGGCTGATTTAGAAAAGCCATAAAATGCAGTTGAAAAGGGAAGGAGTGGATCTGACACCTTGGTCTCCTTGGTTTTCAGTAGTTTTCAGTCATCTTTATGGGTTTTGTTTTGTTATTCATCAAAGTGTAAGTGCTAATAGACTTGGAAAAGTAAAATGATCTTATGACAATCTTTTTTTTTTTTTGTATTTCAGTATTATAAACTCTTAAACAACGTATTTACACTAGTCGTTGAAATGTTTTGGCCTTTGATCCCTAAGGCCCTTAATGTCGTAAACCAAACCTTTAACAGTTTGTCGTATGTCCTTCATGAAAACACACATTTAAACCTCAAACTCAGAAAGGAAAAAGAAATGATGGTTTACATAAAGAATATTTTTAGGACCATTAAGATTTGGAGTTCTGACATTTAATTAAATCTCCCATCCAAAATTCTCATTACTGTAATCTGTTCAGACATTTCTTTTTCTTTTTGTAATTCCCATTCTCAGCAATGATTCAGTAGTCATTTTCTCATTACTGTAATAGAGTATTTTCATGAAAAGATCTGAATAATTAAATTTATCTTAAAGGCAGTATAACACTGATCAAATTAAAATACTGTTTTATTTTGCTTTTTTTCTTTACATTACTAGAAATTACATTTTTACAGTCTATTGTAAAATTAAACAACAATATGCTTGAATAAAAAATCTTAATGGTCTTAAAAATGAGTTTCTTTGAGCAAAATATTTCTATACTTCTGCCTTTTTATTTGGGGTTAAATGTGACAGGTTTTGAGAGATTCACGCCAAAACGATTCTGATTGGTTAAGGAACCCAGTCAAATGTTCTTCGTGTTCATCTTCATCATTACATAATCAATTGTCAGATTCTCTGATGCTGATGGGGTTTAAATTGGAGAAACCATAATACTAAAGCCTAACATAACCCAGAAATCCAACTCAGTTGGCCATGAGGCTGAATTTGTGAGTCTGCTCACAACAGTGACAGAACTGTTATCCACTGTACCCCAGACAGACTGTTTAGCGTCTGTGTTTTTTGTTAGACTGCGATGCTGTGCACATTGTTCTTAAGCTAAGCTTCATTGCCCAAATCTGCTGTGGCTCCCTGCATCCTTTTCTTCCTCTTTTCTTTCCATCTCATGTTTTTGTTTGGATACTAGTGAAGTGTTCACAAGCCTTGCTCACCCAGCCTCAGTGTTTGTCATACAAAGAGCTTTGAGAGCTTTTATCTGGTCATTTGTGCACTTTGAAAAGAATTCAGAAGCACAAACGCTCATGTCGTTCATTAACTCAAGCAGGATCTCACCTCGTTCGCTCACTGCCGAGTGAACGTCTGGCATCGATCCACCCTCAGTGTGAACTTTAATACCATACCGTGGTGTTCACCCTCGATCGTGGTTTGTCTGGATGTTGACCACAGAAGCAGCGTCAGATGGAAATATTTTGTATGTATTGCCAATCTGTTTGTGGTAGTGATGTGTTTAGATCTCTTGTTTGCCAAAGAGAGAAAGTTTTAATTTTGCAACATTTAAGGCAGCAGGTTATTTGGCGTCCTTCCCAAGTGAAGGGTAATATAAGTCTGAAGGATCGGACTGAACAGAAAGCGTCAAGGGAGCGCAAGAGAATATGAGCTGGACGGGTGATGAGTTCTCTCTCTCTCTTCCTCTTTTCCTCCAAAAAGAAAAAGAAAAAACATTGCTCCTTTGATTTTGTGTTTGTGTTGTGTGAAAGTTTTAACTGTTTAAAGACAACTCCGTTTTCGTAAAACAAAAGAGAAAAAAGAACTAAAAACAAGTGGGGATGCATCTGCCAGAGAGATTACTGTAATCAAGGAAGATTTGAGAAGCCTTGTTACATTTACGGGAGAAAACTGCCAACAAGTTCTGGTATTTGGAGCCTATTTTATTCATTGTTGGTGTGTTGTTGTGTGCTTATTGTAAATATATGTCTTTTTGATTGTCCTTTTTTCCTCTGGGGTGGTGAGGGATCAAGGCAAGGGCTCGGGTTCACCCGCGAAAGAAAAGAGGGAGATGAATACAGAGTATTTTGTTATTGTCCAATCCAAGGGTGACACAGTATGTATATATCTATATTGTATATATGTGATGGAAATGCGTTGGCTTTTTGTGTGACACTACCTTTTACCTGTACTATTGTTCAACATTCAGTGTTTCAGTGTTTATATTCTATTTTAATCTTTGTTTTCTGTTTGATTTTGTCCTGGTCATTACTTGTATTTGTTGTTTCCTTTATTTTCCCCTTTCGTCCATTTTGTTATTGCACGGTTTATTACTTTTGCTGTCCAATAAGATGACACGGCTTCTCTTT